GGCGCACGGGAAGAGGGGTAGCGCGGAGGAGTGAGGAGGAGTGGGGAGGGGAAGTGAGGAGAAGGGGGAGTGAGGAGGAGGAGGAGGAGGAGGAGGAGGAGGAGAAGGAAGAGTGAGGCAGTGATGAGGAGGAGGAGGAGCAGGAGGAAGAGGGGGAATTTGGACGGAGGATCAAGGAGAAAGGAGGAAGAAAAGGAAGGCTGCGGGAGAAGGTGGGCGCCGACTACATGCCGTCCGTGTGTCCCATCAGCAGCAGGCTACAGAAGACACAGCACGGGCACGAAGCGGCAGGGGAAAACGCCGGGCTGTTTTGCCCCAGCCCCCTGCGAACACACGCCAGGAAAGCCTGCTGGTGGACAGCCCCGAGAAAATACAGGGCAGTTTTTAATACATAGGATGTTTAATACATTGGATTTTTAATACATGGTTAATGTATGAATAAATGTATGCGTGAACTCATCCTTGTTTTTGATACTGAACCCCTGCAGGTTTAACGCATGATCCGCACGCGGAGCATGTCCTAAAAACGGCACTGTAAGCAGCACCCCAATGTCAGGGGGGCGCAAGACCCGGGTACAGGGGACTCGGAAATCCCCGACGAGGTCGTCAAAAAAATGACGAGGCCGAGCCTGCATTTTGACGAGGCCTCCCGCTGCAGACATCCCACGAAACTCCTCCTCGTCAAAATCCGAGGCGCGGTCGTCAAAGAACGATGGCGAACCCGAGTCCTGGCAAACCCGGGTCTTACGCTCCCCCGACAATGGAAGACGCGACGAAACCGTCGCGCGTGCCGGTGCCCGGGAGGGGCTCACGGAGAGGGCGGGCGGCACACGCCCCCGGCACTCGGCCAAGCACCGCCGCCGGGACAAAAAGATTGGCCGCCCGGGCCTGCGCCCGCCGTGGGGCAGAGGCCACGCTCGGCCTCCCTCGGCTCCTTGGTTCGGTCACGATGTTACATGCAACAAATAAACCGAATAATCATAACAATAGTACTAATAATGGCAATAATAATAATGATCATAATAATGGTACGAATAAGAATACTAATAATAAAAAGAATACGTATAAATATAATATTATTATTTTATATATATAAACAAACAAAAAAACACTCCCCAGGCAACCCCCCAGGCAACCCGGACAGCCCCTCCAAAATGCATGCCACAAGCGTCCCGGCATGTGATTGGGCGCTCGAGCGTCCCAGCACCCCTGGTGGACGGGACCGCGGAAGGGCCACGTCACAGCTCCTGGAGGGCACGCGGGACCCCGAGGGGTAAGACAGGGAAGCCAAAGCACCGACCAAGGCCACGCTAACGACGATGTTGCTTAACGGTGCTGTTGGGAACCAACTTGTAGGAAATCACGAACTGCACTTTCTTACATCTCCAACATGCAAACGTATCGAACGACAACGACACAGCGGACTGTAGAAAAGCACGAGCCACGCGTTCCCACAATACCGAAATCTACATCGCCGTTACCTACATCGCCGTTAACGTGTCTACGGACCCAGAGCAGATGCAGACACGGCCAAATCGTTGCATGACATGCCCACGGTGCTCAAATGCACGAAATGCTGCCACACCGTCGCCCGAAGGGTTTTCGGGCGGGGGGAGAGGCGAGCAAGCCAGCAGACTCAAGGACCCGCGCGGCCTCAACCACAACAGCAACCCTCAAGGGACGAACAGACTCGCCGCCCGCTCGAAGCCACCCTTGGCCTCAAAAGCCGAAAGGGCTGTGGGCTTCCAGAACACAAGACGGCCCAATGCACACATGCTGGAGCGCGGAACGCGTCCGCGCACCCACAAGGCAGGCAAGGCATCGCACCTCGTCGGCGATGCCATTCACATAGAAACTATGGTCATGTAGAGGGGAGGAGCGAGGCACCCTCGGAGCGACAGGCGGAGGAGGAGCATCAGCCCACCTCCCACCGCGGATCGCACGGGCGGCGGCCAGCGAGATTTAATCGACCGCGGCCCCATGGTACTTGACATCGCCCTCAAGGGCCTCCCTGGCGGCAACAGCAGCCATGGCACAGCTGGGCGCAGGCTCGGCAGACTAATTCGCCCAGGTGTTCCCTGCCCACGCCACTAGATCACATCCTCGCCCGAGGGCTTCCTCCGCGGCGAGGCGGGCGGGGGCCCACGCAGACGCGGGAGGCTCGGAGGAGCGCACCTGCGCCACCCGAGCGAAGCTCGGCCTCCAAATCCCAGCACCTGTCTTCACGCCTCGGGCCAGCTCGGGAACCCAAGATGAGCCTTCTTGGACGGGGGACGACACATGCGAAATATAGACAGCAAGATTCGGATTCGGCGGCGGTCCTTGCAGCTCTTCCGACTGTTGGGACAGGGCCGGCCACGGTGCCGAAGAGGGCGCGGACTGGGCGCAAATGCATGCACGGCTGGACGATCGCCCAGCCTGCCCGCTGAGTCTCCGGGACCGACGGGCTCAGTGGGCACCGCCATCTCCAAAGGTCACAGGCCCCCAGACACAACGAACATCACCCCACTCCCAGGTCAGGCGCCGAAGTAATCTGGATCGAGAACTTGGGGACGCCATAACTAAAGTACAAAACCCCCCAGTCGGGCTCGGCAAGGGGATGACTAACGCGAAGTGCTTCTCCACGCGAGGAGTGGCGCTCGCACGGGACGTCGCAGCCCAGCTCGGCCTCGCGCTCATCAGGACTCAGCAGGCGCTCACAATCGTGCCACACGTGCCCAAAGGGGCCCTCGGAGGCTTCAGGCGCAAAGGGGGCCTGGTGGTTTTTAAGCGTGATCTGTTTCAGCTCCAGACTGGATGATTCGGCGGGCTTTCGGTCCTCCGAGGGTTCCACGCTTCTCTCTCTCTCTCTCTCTCTCCCTCTCGCTCTCTCTTCTATGTGTTTTCGTTCGTCGCGCATTCCTCTTCCTCCTCATCCTTCTCCCACATCCTCCTCATCCTCTTCCTTTACGGAACAGGATCAAGCAAAACCATAGGAGAATATACATATATATATATATATAATATATATATATAATATATATATATTTTTTTTAATAATAAATATTAATTAAACAAAAAAAAAAAAAAAAAAAAAAAAAAAAAAAAAAAAAACCTTCGGGAACTTCCTGGGGGGGGGAGGGGGGAGAGTCCCTCAGGATTGCTTTGTTTGCTTTGTTTTGTTTTGTTTGTTGTTTTTCCCCCTATGTGTTTGCTTAATTCTTCTCCGCAAGGAGATTCTGTTTGGGAGGAGGAGGAGGAGGAGGAGGAGGAGGAGGAGGAGGAGGAGGAGGAGGAGGAGGCGGAGGAGGAGGAGGAGGAGGAAGGGGAGGAGGGGGAGCAGGAACAAGGAGGAGGAGGAGGAGGAAACGAAGGAGGAGGAGGAGGAGGAGGAGGAGGAGGAGGCGGAGGCAGCAAACGCGAGCAGGCACGCCGCACTTCGCCCGAGGCTCAAACTGCCCGCGGCGCGCCCGCCCCCACCCCACGCCACCTGCAGCGCTCCGCCCTCAGCCCCTTGGCATGGGAAACCCCAAGCCTAGAACGGCCGCCTACGAGAAGAAGAGGGAGCGCAACCGCGTGTACAACGCGGCCAAACGCGCGGCTCAAAAGGCTGCCGCCCTCGAGGCGGTGGTCGCGCCCTACAAGAGGAAGATCACCCAGCTGGAAAAGAGGGGGGCGGATGAACAAATCTGAAAGTGCGCCAGGTGCGCGGTGCTTGCCAGGTGCGCAGTGTGCTTTCATGTGTGTCATTTGCGACACCCCAGGTGGACTTGGTGCGCGACCACAGGGCCGATGTTTGGGAGAAGCTGCAGACAACGGAGGACTTACGGGGGGGGGGCAGGAGGCAGGGCGGCAGCGAGCGAAAACACGCTCCTCCGAGGAGGCTCTGAGGCGCTGCCAGAACCAGCTCAACTACCAGAAGGGCGCCCGCACGAGGGCGGAGAAGCAGCGCGACGAGGCCGAGCGCAAGCTCCAGCGCTTCGAGAACTGGTACTACACCTTCCTGAAGCTGTGCCTGCAGGAGTTTTTTTTTTGAGGGTGTGTGTGTGTGTGTGTGTGTGCGCGGGTGGGAGAGCAGCGCAGGGGTTAAAGATATTGCCCCAGGAGCTGCCCACGAAGTGGGCGAAGCAGGTCAACGAGTACTCGAAGACTGGCGTGAGGCAGCTGAACTGGCTCTGGCGCAGCTTCCAGGAAGGAGACTAGCTGCGGAGACAGCAGCGCGCGGCGGGTGCAGGAAAAGCCGCCCGCGCGGGGCGAGAGCGGGCTGACGGAAAGGGTCGGCGGCGCAGAGCGAGGAGGGCCAGCCAGGGAAGGGAGCAGGGCGGCGGCACGACGGACTGACATGCTGGGCGGGTAGGAGTGCCAGAGCGCGGGGAGTACAGCCTCTTCTTTATATATATATATATATATATATATATATATATAATATATATATATATATATATACGACACGAGAAAAACATGTGGCGCCGCGGGCCAGGGCGGCGCCATGACGGATTGCTATAGGCATTGCAGCGCTTTCTTTATATATGCGATATGAGATAAGATTTGCGTCGTCGTCGTCGCCCCGCAGGAAGTCTCGTCGCCGCCATCGTTGCCATCGTCGTATTCGTCGCCGCCGCCGTCATCATCGCAGTCGCTGCTTGTGCCCCCGAGGAGCTGGGGGCGCCGTTCCAGTGTATGTTTGTTGCAGCACGTTTCAAATCATTAATGCCTTCTTGATGCGGAGCTTGAGCCAGGTCGGGGAATAAGGATCCCCGAGCGAACGCCATGCCGCAGCGCTCCGAGCTGATTGCGAAAATCTCTGTCGATCATCGCCATCGCCATTCTGCTTGCTGCTGGCGATGCAAAGCTCGGTCGATCATCGCCATCGCCATTCTGCTTGCTGCTGGCGGTGCCGACGCCCGCCCCATTGTTTCCGCAGCCGTTTTGGGTCGAAAGCAGCGCCATTTCGCATTGAACGCTTCATCGCTAAGACACCCCGCCGCGCCCCGCCGCCTCCCGCCAAGCCCAGCGGCGCCATGGCGCAGTATGCCGACATCAAGGAGTACCGCGAGAAGCTCCGCAAGGCAGACATCAATTCCCGCGAGGACTTCTTGCGCCTGGCGAAGCACGCAAGGGTCGCTGACACTGGGGCGCACGCGAATGCACCCTCCTTGTTCGCCCTCATTTTCGCGCAGGTGATGGGCTTCATCTCCGACAAATACACGTGCCCGTGCTGCGGCGGGAATGACTATGACGTCGTGCACCGCAAGGACAGGAGCGCATGGGCATGGCGCTGCCGTGACTGGAGTGGCACATGTGATTCGCGCAAGCCTGAGAGCCACAAGTCTATGACGAAAGGCACCGTCTTCGAAGACGTGCAGTGTAAATCGTGGATGGATTTCTTGGATGTGATGACGATGTGGCTGTTCGACTACCCCAAACTGATCATGGGGGGAGAGTCTGGGCGCCACCACTGCGTGATCGATGTGGGTTTCTACGTCTGCGCTCCACGCGGCCATGGCATCGAACGGGTTCTGGCCGAAAACGAGCAAGAAGCCGAAGCGGAAGAGGGGCGCTCAGGCGAAATCCGGCGCCAGGGTCCGAGCGGTAGCCAAGGCGGCCGCCGTTCGGAGGAACGCCGGTGTCGGCCTCCGCAAGAAGAGCGAAATCAAGAACTACAAGATCGTCGTCCAAGTGGATGAAGCGCACCTGAACAAGCGGAAGCCTGGTCGACTCGTGCGAGCGGCGCGCCCCCAGAAAGATCAGGTGTGGGCGTGGGGTGCAACTGCCCAGGGCCGCCCTGATGTCTGGCTCTTCCGAGTCCTCGACCACCCCCTGGACGCCTTCAACGGCATGCCGCGGGGGCGCGACGAGATGCTGACGAACATGCACCTTCTCGGCCTCAAGAAGGGCACTGTGCTGGTCAGCGACTCCTGGGGCGCCACGATCTCGGCCGTGAAGGAGTTCAAGAAGCTCAAGCGCTGGACGGTGAAGGACCTGCGCCGCGAGCTCGTCGTGCACTCTGCAGGCGAAATTGTAAACCCGAACGGGTTCACAACCAACGGCATCGAGGCCGTGTGGTCCGTGGTCAATCGCTGGGTTCGCCGCCGCTGCGGCGGTCGAATGCCGAGTCACTCGGACCGCGAACAGTGGCGCGCGCTGCTGGCGGAGCTGCAGTGGCGCAAGATGAACGCGCACAAGACGTTGGATTGGGGAAATACGTACTTCGTGCCGTTTGCCGCCCTTGCCGCCGCCTGCAAACCGCTCGAGTGATTGAACATACGAGCGGTGCATGCTATAAAGTTCTGCTGCGCTCGGGCGCACGCGGTGTCCTTTTGATGGATCTTCCTAAGCGAAGCCGTGCTCTCGGCTAGGTGGGAGAAGGATCGGCGCAGTTTTGACAGAGAGAGAGAGAGAGACAAAGCAAACGTGGAAATACATAGAGAAAGAGAAGGACAACGATATATGTATATAGAGAGAGAAAGGGAGTCGCGGGGAGAGAATCGCCTAGGGCTTTCTCTTTAAAAACAAAACACACAACAACCACCAGGCCCCCTTTGCGCCTGGAACCCCGTCGGAGGACCCGCAAACATTGCAGAGTCGAGCATCTTCCTTTCCCCATGCGCAAAGACGAACGGGGGCCGGCAAGCGATCAGCCCAAAACGCACGAACAGCGCCCAGAGGTGCCGGCCGGAGATCCCGAGTTCCAAGCCATCGGGCGCACTCCCAAACATCACGCACAAGCTCTTGAACTGGTAGGTGCGCGGTCAGCTTCCGCACCTGCCACCACCTCGCGCTATCTCCCAGGAAGGCCTTCACATCCGCAGGCGGGGTAAAAAGCAGATCATAAACCACGCCTTGGTCACTCGGCCAATGATGAGGGCCAAGAAGACGCCAACTGACCTGGGCACGCGCCGGAAAAGCAGCGGCCGTCGGACCTCGCGCCGCGGCCCGCGCGTCGCCGGAAGTCTCGATCTTCTCCATCGTCGCCTGCCGCGCGGGCACCAGCTCACTCACGACCACCCCGCCGCCCGAGACGAACGCGCGGCGGCGGCGCAGGAGGAGGGCGGCGGCGTCAAAGATTGGGTCGCGCCGCGCCTGCCACTAGTGACACAGGCGGGCAGTCTCGCGCGCCCGCGGTGGGGCACCGACCAACATGGCAGCCGCGATTCGACAGCGCTGCCAAGGCATCATCAGGAAGGCCCATGACCCCAGCTCCACGCACAGCGGCGGGCCGAGCACCAGCCCGGCAGAGCACTGAAGCCCGACGCCCAGCCACCTGCCGAAACATGGCCAGCCGACGCCGCCGCTGCTGGAGGGACTCCGCACGGCCTTCTCTCTCGGAGGCGCGAGGGCCGAGCACCCGGCGCCACATGGCCGAGGTTGCGCATTCAGCGCCGCAGACCAGCGATCTTCGCACGACCTTTCAGCAGCAGCTCGCGCGCGGCCACGGCGGCGGGCACGCAGCCCGACCTCTTGCCATTAAGACGTCAAACCCAAAATTGAAGGGGGCCCAGGACACAAATAAATACGCACATATAAAAATATTCCCCATATGTTTCCCATATTTTCTGGGTTTTTATCTTCCCTCCCAATTCCCATATTTTCCCACATTTTCCTGGGAATCGACGATTAATTGCGTCTGTGTGTTTTTTCCCCTCCTGACAAATGCGGGACTCTGAAACAAACCCCCGAACTGCAAAATCCGGGACGCGAGCTCCACGCGGGCCGTCGCCGGCGCAGCGGGCGGAAACGTCATGCACGAGCGCGGTCTGGAACCAGCCCCTGCCGCAGATGGCAGACACGCCGTAGAACCCGCAGCGCCAGCACCTCCAACGCGCAGACCGTGCGGGCGCAGCCCGCCGGGACACCTTGAAAGCATTCGAGTGCGGCGCCGGTACTGCCGCAGCCTTGAAGGCATCGGGGCAGAGCGCGCATCTTCAGCAGCATCCACGTCATCCTGGGAGCATAGCCCAACTCGGCCACCTCCTTGAAGAGCTGGGATGGCCGCACCAGATCAAAGGCCTCCGTCAGATCCAGCAAGACCGACGCCGAAAATTGCCCGCGCAACGCGGCCACCTGCGAGGCCAAACTGTGGGAGAAGGCACTGTCCGAGGAGGCGCGCCCCGACCGGTTGCCCCACGCGTGCTCAAACTGGTGGTCGACCTACCACTGGCGCGACACCCCGCGTCTCAGACGACCCCATACCCGCTGGAAAGCTTCGACAACAGCCATCAGCCGATGGCCCTCCCCTGCTTTCGAGATGCCGCACATCATGGACCGAAGCCGCTCCGCGGGCCACGTGAGCAGCTGCTCGCACTTAACAAGATAGGCGGGCAGCTGCTGAAAGGCCTCGCGAGACAGATGTGGTTGAAGTCTCGGGCGCAGCCCTGACGGGCCCGTGGACGTCACCCGGGGGGGAGACAATATCACCTTGCGAACGGTCGCGACGTCAAAATCTGGCCGCGCCTGCCAGGACTCCGACTCAAACGGCGGCTGAGACACAGGAAGGCACCCGCGGATAACAGATGCTGGCCCTGCGCGCCATGTCCTGGCTCACAAGCGCGCAGGGCTGGACCGAGGCGCACTGACACGCGCCCCCAGGGAAGGCGATGGCCTGGTCCATCGGCCAGGCATTGGACACACGGCGCGCAACCACGGCGCCACCCACGAAGGCGGCCCTCGCCCTGGACGCCCAGGCCGCGCGCGACTGCCGCTGGCACTCGAGCCGAAGCCTGGCCGCCTGGGCCCCAAAGGTCTGGAACAGATCCTCGCCACCAGGATCCGCCCACACCTGCGGGCCCACGGCCAAAAAGGCCCTCAAGCTGCATCGGCAGGCGGGCCAAGACCTCTGCCCTGCGATTGGCACTGGCGAGGAGGGCGGCCACCTCGCGCAGGCCCCCGCAAGATGGTAGGAGCACTGGGGCCCGTGAACCTCGCACATAGCACTGGCCATCTGCGCGCGGGCCACCAGGGCGCGAAGTCGAGCTCGCTCACGCCGCAAACGAAACATCCAACGCAACGCAATCTTCGAAAATAAAGTCTCCAGCCGATGATACGTCCGCTTCAGAGGCGGCTTCCACTTCAGCTGCCCCCAGACCAACTCGGGCACACTGCCGCGCCCTTGGTGCGCCAGTGAAGGAGGGCAGACCAAGTCAGAGCGATTGGTAAGCTCGATCTAAACACCACGGACGAGCTGATCCCACGCCGCCGCCAGCCCGTCTGCATCCTGGGTCTCCTCGACCTGCATAATGGACCAGTCCAACGGATACCGCGCGCATCCAACCGGGGCACGGGCAGGAAGCTCGCGAGGCAGGTCAGGAACCAGCCTCGCACGCCTGGGCCGCCAGGTAGACCGAGACAGGAAGGCGCGGGGACACCGCAGAGCCCTCGTCGACGGTTGCCCGGTCCACCATGCGCGCCGACAAATTGGAGGACACGACGAAATAGTCCCGCGTCGCGCCTGGAAGGCACTGCCCGCAGGCGGGCAGCGCCGGGGCGAGCGGCACAGCAGCAGCAGCACGAAGCCAGGGCTGCGCAGTCATAACAGCAGCCTCATTATCCCAACCACCGCCGATCGGCCAATCATGGCCAGCGCTGTTCAAGGAGCAGAGGGCCCGAACCAACGCCCACATGTAGGCAATGTTGACGGGCCCCGCCTTGTCGCAGGCGCCCAGACGAAGGCTGCCCGCGGCAAATCCACCAGGCACGCCCCAATGCACATGGGCGAACAAGCATCGGCATTTCACCAGGCAGCGTCGCCGTCAGCATGACATCGGTCCGCGCGAGAACCGCCACGCCAACAACCGCTCCAGCGTCGGACTTGTTGCTGGGCAGCGCCGCCAAACAGTGGCCATGCCAGCCGAGATCACGAGCCTGCGATTGCGCACTGAGCAGCCCGAAAAACAGCCGCAGGACGACACGCTAACCGAGACAACCTCCCCCTTGACCTGGACAGCATCATTTTCCCGGAGCCCCCATCCAGGGACGCGATTCCGGAAGGGCGCGCCGAGCGCCCGTCGAAGTATTGGGGCTTGCTTCGCGGACGGAGGGCGTCGAGCCGCCCGAAGATGACGGCCCAGCCGACGCAGAAGTGCCACCAGGATTGACCACCATGGCTGCAACATCAGTCATCAACAAGAGAAGGCTCGAGGCCAGAGACCTTAAGAGGCAGCAGCACCAGACTTCTTCTGGCGCTTGGCCAAGGACTGGAAATTGCCGAGGAGACGCTTAGCAGCATTGCGGACGCCCTCATAAGTGCCACTCGACTCCTGCCCCAAGGACTGCACGAACTCCTTGACATCAGCCAGGCCGATGTCGCCCATGCCGGCACCAGGCACAGGGCGGTCAGCAGCAACCGCCAGCCGAGCGCCATCAGACCCACTAGGCCCCGCAGCAGCAGGCGCAGGAGCTGGCGGAGGCGGGGCAGGCTCGGCCACGGGCGAGCCACGGCCTGACATGCTGAGCATAAGGCGCCCAGCTGGCAAATGACAGTCCGCAGCTGCTCCAGGCTGGCATTAAAGACCGTGACCACAGCCTCGCCGCTTTGGCCTGGACTGCCAGCAACGGGCGGTGGCACCGTGCTCTCGAGCATCTCCATGTACTCGAGTTGAAGCGCCTCGCGAGCAATAGTCTTCTCGAGCAGCTGCTGACGCTGCTCCTCGAGAAGGTTGTGCTGCTTGGTAATCTCGGCCTCGGCCTCCACGATGGTAGCTTGAAGGTTGGAGATCTGGCAGTCCAAACACTGGATACGATTGGCTATGTCATCAGCCTGAGTGGCGAAAGGCTTGGCGGCTTGAACCTCAACGCGCAAGTCTTTCGACCGCTGCTCGCGCGTGGCGTAGCCCTCGATTTGCTCCAGGTTCTGACTCGTAGCCTTGGCAGCAGCCTGCATCGACGCACAGATGCCCTCGACATCCAACCCATTGTGTTGTCTGCTTCGCATAAGGCGTGGAGCAGGCAGCAATGTCATCACCAGCACCGTCAGCAGCACCAGCGCGATCAGGAGGGGCCCGAGACTGGCCCCCCTTGACCGCCTGCTGAAACTGCCGCACCTGCTTCCTCAGGGCCGCCAACTCCGTATCCTTTCCAGCAGGATTATCTGCGGGTGGCGGCGTCTTCTGGCCCCTGGCAAGGCCGTCAGGCGTGACGCCCCGCAAGTAGCACCTGCCCTTGGCCATTGCGCACATGAAGCATGCATATGTGTCGGCGCGGTTGGACCGAGGCTGGCAGTCCTTCGGGTTGATCCAGGAGCGACACAACCACTCGTTGGCCCGCCCTAGACGACGCTGCGCACCCCAAAACCCGCCATGGCGCCCACGGAAGGGCCCCGAGCACGAGCAGGGCAGAGGGAGCGGAGGGGAGAGAAGGAGAGAGCGGAGGGTGAGAAGGAGGAGGGAGGAGGGAACTGGAGGAGGGCGCACAGAGCGAAGGGGGGGGAGGGGGAGGGCTCCGGGGGAGGGCTCCGGAGGACCCTAGAGCTGGAGGTCTCTAAGGCCCTCTGGGAAGGCTCCAAAAGTCTTCATCATCTCAATGCTATTCCTCCTCCACCCTCCTCCCCTCCACCCCCTCCTCCCCCTGCTCCACGTCCTCCCCCTGCACCGCTTCCGCCGCCTCCTCCCCCTCCCCCCCTCCCCCCATCCCTCCTTCGCCTCCTCCCCCACCTCCAACCCTCTTCCTCCCCCTCCCGCTTCCTCCTCCTCCTCATCCTCCTCCTCCTCCTCCTCCTCCTCCTCCTCCTCCTCCTCCTCCTCCTCCCCCCCTCCCTCCCTCCCTCCCTCCCCCCTCCCTCCGTCCGTCCCTCCCTTCGTCCCTCCCTCCGTCCCTCCCTCCCCCCTCCCTGCCCTCCCTGCCTCCGCCTCCCTCCTTCCCTCGTTCCCCCCCTCCCTCCCTCTACCAATTCCTCCTTGTCCTTCTCCTCCTCCTCCTCCTCCTCCTGCTCCTCCTCCTGCTCCTGCTCCTCCTCCTCCTCCTCCTCCTTCTCCTCCTCCTCCTCCCCTTATTATTTGTATGATTCATATGTGTGTTGATGTTGCCAATCCCCATATGTCAAGTATTAGTGACGCTAAATACATAATGCGGTGTAGCACGATTTGTATCATTGCTGCCAGTGCTAAGAATAATACTCGACATCACCAGCAGGATCACCAGCATCAGCATCAGCATCAGCATCAGTATCAGCATCAGCATCAAAATCATCATCAGCAGCATCATCATCGTCATCATTATCCTCATCATCATCAGCAGCAGCAGCATAATCACCATCATCAGCCTCAGCATCAGCATCAGCAGCAGCAGAAGCAGAAGCAGCTTCATGATCAGCATCAGCACCATCATGGTCATCAACAACAGCATATGTATCATCTTCAGCATCATCGTCATCCTCATAAGCATCATCATCAGCATTATCATCTGCATAATCGTCATCATCATCATCAGCACTATCATCAGCAGCAGCAGCAGAATCATCATCGTCATCACCATCGTCATCTTCAGCAGCAGCAGCATCATCATCGTCACCATCATCGGCAGCATCATCCCCACTGCCCCTCTTGGAGTGGAGGGGACGGGGGTCGCCGAGGCGAGGCGCCTTCTGCTGCGCAAACTGGGCCACCTGGTCCCACGCCTCGTGTGCGACCTGGGCCTTCCTCGCCTCCTTGTCGGGGCGCCTCCTCCGGCCTCCTCCTCCTCCTCCTCCTCAGTCTCGTCCTCCCCTCAGTCTCGTCCTCCTCCACGTCCTTCTCCTCCCCCTTCTGCTCCATCTCCCCCGCCTCCTCATCCCTCTCCTCCTCCTCCTCATCCTGCTCCTCCTCCTCCTCTCCCTTCGTCTCCTCCTCCTCCTCCTCACCCTCTTCCTCCTCCTCATCCTCCTCCTCATCCTCCTCATCCTCCTCCATTCCTTTTCCTTATAGATAACTTCTCCGCGTCCCACCCCGAGGCAAGTTTTTGGGGCGGTCCGGGCGTTTCGCCTGAGACTTCCTCACCATTTATGACCCTGAAGCATAAAACGTGACAACAGCTTCACAGATGGAGGGCGGGTGGTTTTCAAAATGTGGCTCTCGCCTGAGCGCCGCCGCATTCGTTCTTAAAAATTGCAAGAGCTTCACGGATTGAGGGCGGGTGGTTTTCAACATGTGGCTCTCGCCGTTGCGCCGCGCACATGCGTTCCAAAAATTTGCAAGAGCTTCATGGATTCAGGATAACCCGTCTTCAAAATGTGGCTCTCGCCTTAGCGCCGCGCACCTTCGTTTTAAGAATTTGCAAGCAAGAGTTTGACGGAGTGAGGGCGGTTCCTTATCAAAATATGGCTCTCGCCTTAGCGCCACGCACAGTCATTTATAAAACTTGGAAGAATTTCACGGATTCCCATCCATGATCAACGTACCAGAAATGGTGATTTTGGAAGGATTCAAAATTTTGCAGGCGCAACAAATACGTTGATTCGCGGTGTTGAGATCATAAGAACGGCGGTCCGGCACGATCCAGGACCGTCAATACGCAACAATCAGGTTGATCCGTGGCGTTGAATCCCGAGGGCAATGTTTTGGCATGCTTCAGGGTCTTCAAACGGTTGCCTTCCAACGATGCAGTTCCCTCAATGGAAATGAACCGTTGTAGGAGCCTATGAAGAGGGAGCTTGGAGGGAGGGTGTAATCCAACATCGTTGATAGCTCGTGGGTTTACACTGGTCCTTCTCCTCCTCCTCCTCCTCCTCATCCTGCTCCTCCTCCTCCTCCTCCTCCTCCTCCTCCTCCTCCTCATCCTCCTCCTGCTCCTCCTCTTGCTCCTCCTCCTCCTCCTCCTCCTCCTCATCCTCCTCCCCATCCTCCTCCTAATCCTTCCCCCCCTCCGCTCATCATCATCATCATCATCATCATCATCATCATCATCATCATCATCATCATCATCATCATCATTATCATCATCATCATCATCATCATCATCATCATCACCACCATCGGCATCATCATCCTCATCATCCTCAGCATCATCATCATCATCATCAGCATCAGCATCAGCATCAACATCAGCATCAGCATCATCAGCATCATCGTCATCATCATCAGCATAATCATCATAACCATCAGCATCAGCATTAGCATCATCATCACCAGAATCAGCATCACCAGCATCACCACATCAGCATCATCATCGTCATCAGCAGCCCATCGGCATCAGCATCAGCATCAGCATCATCAGCATCATCATCAGCAGCAGCATCATCATCACAATCATTCCCATCAGCATCAGCATCATCATCATCAGCAGCATCGTAATCATGATCATCAGTCTTATCATCATCATCAGCATCATCATCACCATCATCATCATTATCATCATCAGTATCATCATCGGCAGCAGTTGCAGCAGCATCAACACCAGCATCATCAACATTATCGTCGTCGCCATCATCATCAGCATCAACACTATCGACAGCATCAACAACATCAACATCATCGCCACCATCATCAGAAACAGCATCATCATCATCATTACCATCAACATTAGCTTCAGCATCGTCGTCGTCGGCATGTTCGTCATCATCATCAGCCTCAGCGCCATCATCGTTATCCTCAGCTTCATAATCAAGAACATCATCATGATTAGTATCGTCATCATCATCCGCATCGCCATCTTCATCATCAACAGCATCATCGGAACTGCCGTCATCAGCATCATCGTCATCGTCATCAGACGCATCATCATCATCATCATCATCAGCAGCATCATCAGCATCATCATCATCATAATCATGAGCATCAGCATGAGCAGCATCGTCTCAGTCGTCGTCATAATCATCAGCATCATCATCAGCATCATCAACAACAGCATCATCAGTATCAGCATCGTCACCGATGCTCGTGAGCATGATCGTCATCATGACCAGCAACATCATCACCACCACCATCATCATCATCGTCGTCACTACCACCACCACCATCAACAACATCATCATCACCAGAATGAGCATCACCAGCATCATCACATCAGCATCATCATCATTATCATCATCATGATCATCATCATCATCGTCATTGTCGCCATCATCATCAGCAGCACTATGGTGTTCACCGTGTGCATCATCCCTCTTACCATCCTCATAAACAGCAGCATCAAAATCCTCGCCATTGCTATCGTTCTCGTCATTGCCATTGGAATCACCTATCCCGTCTCGTTCGTCGCACGCCATCTCCACCATCATCCTGATCATCCTGGCAACCATCGAAAACACCAACAACGACACGAGAATCACCACCGCCATCACCCGCCGCCCTCATTCCTCCTTCTCACCATCAGACTCACCAAGATGATCCAGATCTCCTCACTGGTTCTTCCCTGTTTCGCCGTACAATTCTCCTCCGTTCTCTTCCTCCTTCTCCTCCTCCTCCTCCCCCTTTGTCCTCCTCCTCCTCCTGCCCCTCCTCCCTATCCTCATCGATCCAGCTCCCCTTTCTCCCCTCTTCCTCCTCCTTCCTCCTTATCCACCTCCTCACCACCACGATCAGAATCGACGCCATCATCAAATACGTCATCGTCCCCAGCCCCATCCAGAAGTATCGTCACCATTGCTATCATCATCATCATCATCATCATCATCATCATCATCATCATCATCATCATCATCATCATCATCATCATCATCATCATCATGATCATCATGAGCATCATCATCATCCTCATTATCATCGTCAGCATCAGCATCTTCATCATCAGCATCACCGTCCTCATCATCATCATCATCAGCATCATCATCGTCATCGTCGTTGTCATCGTCATCGTCATTGCCATCATCATTATCATCATCATCAGCATCATCATCATTATCATCACCACGATCATCAGCAGCAGCAGCATCATCGGAATCGTCAGCAGCACCATCATTATCATCATCAGCAGCATCATCGTCGTCCGCACACTCCTCCTCGTCATCCTCGACGCCATGCTCGTCGTCTTCATCACCGCCCTCGGTGTGGCGGTGCTGGGTCCATTCTCGCCGTCATCAACCTCGTCATCGTCGTCGCCCCCGGGAGTCTTGGCAGGAAGCCCCAGTCCTCCTCGCGCTGGGCGGCGTAGATGCGTTTCTTGTTCTCGAGCTCCTCACTCGACAGGAACACCTGCTAGCCCGTCCATATCATGCTTCTCCTCCTTTTTCTTTTCCTCCTCCTCCTCCTCGCCCTCCTCACCATCATAGACGGCATCATTATCTATCGTATTTGTCATCGTCCTCCTGGCTCTCCTCCGCCTCATCCTCCTCGTCATCACCACACCGTCGTCACCATCATCGTCTTCACCAACACCTCACCGCCATCACCATCACAGTCATCATGCCCCCTCCCTGAGGCACCTCTGGTACGCACCCTTGGCGTGCAGCGGAGGGCGCGGACGGGCGGATGCGGAAGGCCGGAGGCGAGACGCTGCAGTGCGGGCCGGGGCGCGGCCCTACTGAGAGCGCAGCGGGGGGGCCGTGGTCCGTCGGATGTGGGTGAACAGGACCTTCGGGAATGAGGCCTTGCTCCAAAAAGCTCTTCCGCTTGATCGAACTTGGGGGACCTCAGCCATACCAGGGGCAACTTCGCCTCGCAAGTACGGTATGCGGCACGCGCGCTATCTTGGCCGCCAGTGATGCAGCTTGTACATTAGTTCTAAGAAAACCACAGCCTTACTCGACGGGTCCCCAAGGACAGCTGGTGTCCAGCGGCGGCCGCCGCTGGACGGGCGACGCTCGCCCCAGATGGACAACTTCCGCGGCGCCACCGACAGCGGACCCTGCTCTCAGAGTGCGCAGGAGCTGCTGCCCCTCGTCGTCCCCAGGTTTTGCCGTCCCGGCCCATGTGGGTCCTCCCGATCGTCGCCATCGTGGTCGCCATCGGCCTCGGCGGCGCCATCGTCATCGGACCGGGCCATGCAGGAGATGAGGCACACGGACGGGGATCTGCAGACGCTCCACCAGCCCTCCCCGCCCTCGCCCTCGGATCGTACACCGCGGCAGCGCCATCTCGACGGCCACATGCTTCGACTATCGCTGGTCGCGCCCACGTCGTCGTCCGATCCAGATATCGGCCCTGAGTCGGCCCCTGGACACGTCTTGGAGGGGCCCACCCATGGCCACCCTGCCACGCACAGCCTGGCCGCAGCGACGCCGCCGCCCCAGGGACGCCCATACCGAAAACCTCCGTTGAAGCGACCACCCCGTCGTCGTAGTCGTCGCCGTCGTGGCCGTCGTCGCCGCCGCCGTCGCCGCCATCACCGCCGCCGCCGTCGCCGTCGTCGCCGTCGTCGCCGTCGCCGTCGTCGTCGTCGTCGTCGCCGCCGTCGCCGCCGCCGCCGTCGTCGTGGTCGTCGCCGAGAGCCCGGCGGGGCCCGGTGACCCCCGCGCGCGCGCGGGCGGGCGGAAGGGCGCCGGCTGGTCCGCTGGCTCGCCGCGCGCGCGGCCGCCGCTGAACGGGACGGGCGCCTCCCCGGCGGCGCGGCGCACACCGCCAGCGTGGCCGCCGTGGGCGCCCGCGCGGCCGCCGCCGCCGCCGCTGTCGTCGCCGCCACCGCCGCCGTGGCCACCGCCGCCGCGGCCGTGGTCGTGGCGGCCGTCGTCGTCGTCGCGGCGTCGTTGTCGTCGCTCGGGGATCTTCTGACACGGGTCAATCCAGACCCGGGTCAGCAAGAAACCAAAAACTGCAATGCAGGAAAAAAAAAAAATGCAGCGCAGGTCTTCGCAAACCCGGGTCAGCCAATATGCGCGGCCGCCTCGCGGCCACGAGCGGCTCCCTGACCCGGGTCAGCCAGAGGGGGTCTTCGCAGGATCCTGCAGGATCCGGTGCCCAGGCTGACCCCCGTCTGCACTGACCCCAGTCTCGAGGCTCCCGAGTCGCAACAACGACACCAACACCGGGGGGCATCGTCCTCTTCCTTCCTCGTCCTCATCGTCGTCGTCGTCGTCGCCGTCCCCCTCCTCCTCCTCCTCACGCCCGGACGTTGCATTCACCTGGCGGCGGTTTCTGATTGAGGCCTTTTCGCGGACACCCGATCTGGTCCGATCCTCCTCCTCATCCTCCTCCGAGGAGGAGGGTCGAGAATCGAGGATCGAAAAGGATAAGGAGGAGGAGGAGGATCGAAGATCGAGGGAGGAGGAGGGTTCAGGATCGAGGGCCACAAGAGCCTCTGGAAGCTCTGGTTAGCTCCAAAGACCCATGGAGTCCTGCCCAAGGTTGGGGGCCTCCTCCTCCTCCTGGGAGAAGGGATGGAGAAGAGAAGGAAAAATGCTGGCGATGAGCAGGAGGAGGAGCACATAAAGGAGGAGGAGAAGGAGAAGGAGCACACGAAGCAGGAGGAACACATGAAGGAGGAGGAGAAGGAGCAGGGTGGGAAGGGGGGTCGGAAGAAGGGGAGGTCGGAGAGCAGGAAAAGGAAAGGAAGGAGGAGGAAGAACACGACGACGACGACGACGACGACGACGACGACGACGACGACCACGACAACAACGACGACCACCACGACCACGACCACGCCCACGACGACGACGACGACGACCACAACGACGACGCCGACGACGACGACGACGACGACCACCACGACGACAACAACAACTATGACGACAACGACGACGACGACGACGACGACAACAACAGCGACGACGACGACGACAACGACGAAGACGACGACGACCACGACGACAACCACGACGACCACGACGACGGCGACGACGACGACGACGACATCGACCAAGACGACGACGACGACGACGACACGACGACGACGACGACGAACGACCACGACCACGACAACGACGACAACACGACGACGACCACGACGACGACGACGACGACGACGACGACGACGACGACGACGACGACGACGACGACGACGACCACGACGACGACCACGACCACGGCGACGACAACGACAACCACGACGACGACGACGACGACCACCACGACGACCACCACGACGACGACCACGACGACGACGACGACGACGACGACAACTATGACGACAACGACGACGACGACGACGACGACAACAGCGACGACGACGACGACAACGACGAAGACGACGACGACCACGACGACAACCACGACGACCACGACGACGACGACGACGACGACGACGACGACGACGACGGCGACGACGACCACGACCACGACGACGGCGCCGGCGACGACGACCACGACCACGACCACGACGACGACGACGACGACGACGACGACGACGACGACGACGATGACGACCACGACGACAACCACAACTATGACGACGACGACGACGACGACGACAACCACGACGACGACGACGACGACGACCACGACGACAACGACGACCTCGAGAACGACGACGACGAAACGACGACGACAACCACGACGACAACCACGACGACGACGACGACGACAACGACGACGACCACGACGACGACGACGACGACGACGACGACGACGACCTCCTCCTCCTCCTCCTCCTCCTCCTCCGCCTTCTCATTCTCCTCCTTCTCATACTCAGAGTCACCGTCCGCGTCCGCGTCCTCGTCCTTGCCCCCATCATCATAGTCGTAATCAGAATCGCAATCAGAATCATCATCATCATCATCATCATCAGCAGCAGCAGCATCAGCATCAGCAGCATCATCATCAGCATCATCATTATGATCATCAGTATCATCAGCATCATACACATCAGCCTCAGCATCAGCATCAGCATCATCAGTATGGTAATCAGTATCATCATCACCATCATCATCATCATCATCATCATCATCATCATCATGATCAGACTCATCAGCATCAGCATCAGCATTATCATCATCACCATCAGCATGATCAGCAATATCAGAATCATCATCACCACGGTCCTCATCGTCATCATCGTCCTCATCACATCATCATCATCATCAGCATCATCACCATCATCCTCATCATCACCATCATCAGCATCAGCATCATCATCATCATTTAGCAGCAGAAGCAGCAGCATCAGCGGCAGCAGCAGCAACCGCGATGATAGCATCGTCACCGTCAGCAACAACATCAACATCACAATCGTCAGCATAGCCATCCTCATCACCAGGACCGTCACAATCATCCTCATCACCACAACCATGATGAGCATCATCACCTTCTCCTTCATCAGCATCAGCATCAGCAATAACATCATCATAACCATCATCATCACCATCATCACCACAATCCCCATCCTGAACACCATCTCAACCACCGCCACCGCCATCACCTCCAGTACCATTACCAGCACCATCCGCCTCCTTCCTCCTCCTGCTCCTACACATACACATCCGCCTCCACCTCCACCTCCTCCTTCTCCTCCTCCTTCTCCTCCTCGTCGTCTCCTTCTCACCCGTTCCTCTCTTCGACAGGCCCTCTTTGCCCGGCTGGAACGAGAGAGCGCCCGGGGCCAGCTACATCTCGACCGAGGCCCGCGGTACATGGGTGAGGAGCAGGAAGAGGAAGAGGGAGGAGGAGCTGGGAGGCAAAGGGCGAGAGAGGAGTGGTAGGAGGAGGAAAGAGGAGAAGCAGGGAGCAGGGAGGATCCGTCTGGAGGAGGCGGAAGAAGAGGGGGGGGGGATCAAGGGGAGAAGGAGGGAGGCGGGAGGAGGAGAGGAAGAGAAGAAGTGGGAAGGAGGGGGAGGAGGAGAAGAGGGGGAAAGCGGGGCAGAAGAAGGAGGAAGACGACGACGACAGAGATGGAGGTGTGCGGAGCGCGATGATAAACCTCAAAGAAACCCGCACTAACCTTGTCACCCCCTCCCACCTCCCAAAATAATATCGCATAACGACGACCCCCCTGACAACGACGGCGGCGGCGTCGACGACGACGATAAGAACTCGGCCGCAGGGACGAACTGCGACGACGGCAACGACACCGACGACGACGACGACGACGACAACGACGACGACGACGACGACCACCACCACCACCACCACCACGACGACCTCAACGACGGCGACGACGACCACGACAACCACGACCACGACGGCCACCGACGCCGACGCCGACGCCGACTTCGCCGCCGCCGCCGCAGCCGCCGCCGCCGCCAACGACGACGACTACGACGACGACGACGACGACGACGACGACGACGACGACGGGAGGCAGGACCGCAGCTCCTCCTTGCCGCTGTCGCCGCTCTTCGCCCGCGCCCTGTCCACGATGACACGCAATTCGCCGATCGCCTGCTGCGCACGAGCTCTCGTCGTCATCGTCATTGCCACGGGCCCTGCCTCCACCGACACTCGCCCGCCAAGAACCCCGCAATCACTCCTCCTCCTCCTCCTCCTCCTTCTCCTCCTCCTCCTCCTCCTCCTCCTCCTCCTTCTTGTCCT